TGTGGAACTCAGAGGACAACTTGCAGGAACTGGTTCTCTCCTTACATCATTATGGGCTCGAACTCAGGGCCTTAGGTTTGGCGGCAAGCATCTTTACCTGCTGAGCCATCTCTCTCACAGCCCCCCCAACCATTAATCTTTACCCAAATCCATTTCCACATGTTAATCCACTTCATCATTTTGGGATACCATCAGCTGGTATTGACTTTATATATTTAACTGAAAAGCCTCTGCTGAGTATAAACTGGTGACATTTAAACCTCAGTCTTTTGTCCCTTTAAAAAAAAGTTCTCGCTGTTTTAACAAAAACAGTGGATAGAAAACTGAATAGAAAAAGGGCAGAGGTCCGTATAATCACACTTTTCAATCTTTGCCTGTTTTTCAAATCCGTCTTTTCCTAGGTTTTAGAGCTGGCTCTATATCTGAATATGAAAATTTCACCTTTAAACAACTCTGAACTCTCCTGGGCCTGCAGAGGTGTTTTAATGTCAGCCCCAGGAAATGTACACAGGAGCAAATTTACAGCTCCGCACTGTCACAGTTAGATTAAAGAGTCATCCATTAACCAGGGCAATTGCGGGCAGATTACAAAAGCAGTCAGTGTCCGGCGTGCGTGGGGAAAATGGAAGTACAACTCGAAGTGTTCAGGGTCAAAAACTAGGCCCTGGAATTTGTTTTTAAGATTTTTTTTCTTCTCTTTTTTGGGGGCGGGGAATGGAGTGCATGCAGACCTCTTTGAATCTCCATTTGCGTGGTTTAGCCCAGGGGAACATCTGGCCGCTGCGCCTGGACAGACGCCTCTTATTCTGCAGCCCTCATCCATGAAAGGCGCCCACAGCCTCCTGGCTTTGCGTATGAAAGGTTGGGGGTCCAGCGCTGGAGAAATAAACAACCCTGCTCCTTGGAAGTCTGTCTCCCCATTATGAACTGACAGCGAGCCTGTGAGGTGCTGAAAGCCAGGGGGATGGAGTTGTTAGAAACCCGTTAATGATCCTGGATGTGGTTGGAGGAGAAATTTCCACTTCATTTTTTGCAAAAATCTCATTCCTGCCTTCTGCTGGTGTCTTGGCAAATGTATATAAAAAAATCTTAAGAGTCTTGAGACTCAGTGGGTAAAGGCGCTTCCTGTGTAAATCTGACGACCTGAGTTTGATCTCTGGAACCCACGGGGTGGAAGGAGAGAGTGGACTTCTCCAGCTCTAAACTGTGGGTTTCTAAATTGTTTTTTCATTCTAGGAATCCCTCCCGGCTAGCTACTGAAGACTGACTGCCCTTTCCTCCAACCTAGGGCCTCACACATGCTAGACAGGTGCTGTCTACTGAACCACTTCTTCAACCGTTTCTCCCTTCTAAATTGGGTCTGCCTCTCCTCTCCTTTCTTCCTCCCTAGATGTACCTTCCAGTAGACGATGGCTACTTTTGATTCCAGAGGGCATGCTCGTGCCCTGCTGGTGGGACTCCCAGAAAATGCTGGACTGTAAATGTCCTCATCTGCTTTTTCCTTCATGTGCTGCCTCATCTCCTTTTATCTTTTCTCCATCAGAATGTATGCTCACATGTATACACACACAAACACATGTGCACACATGTCGAGCATGTGAGACTCAGCTATATTTTTTCTCATGTAGCTCAGACTAGCCTGAAACTGTGCAGCTTAAGATGAACTTCTGATCCTCTTGTCTTCCCCTCCAGAGTTCTGGGATTGCAGGTGTGCACCACCGTGCCAGACTTTATTTGGTGCTGGGATTGAATTCATGGACTCATGCATGCTAGGCAAGCCTCTATCAATTGAACTACATCCTCAGTCCCTGGAACTACATGTATATATATTTTAATTATATGTGTGTCTATGTAGGGGTTTTTCTGTGCTCTATGCAGTGCTCACTGAGGCCAGAAAAGAGTGTCAAATCCCCTGGAGGTGGAGCTACAGGCTATTGAAAGCTGCCTGATGTGGGTGCTGGGAACTGACCTTGGGTCACCTGGGAGAGTAGCAGTGCTCCATCTTTCCAGCCTCTGGAACTATGTATTTGATCACTGAAAAATAACACCACGGGGGCTGGAGAGATGGTGTCATTGGGTGCAGTGCTTGCCACACACATGAACACCCAAGTTCCATCTCTAGCTCTGAAACCCTGTCTGGTGTAATCTTGTCGCCTCAGAGGAGACAGGTGGATTAGGCTTGCCAGCCAGCCTAACCTAATCAGAAACCCAGCTCCCAGTGGAAAACTGTCTCACAAAGCAGGGCTGGTGGGATGGCCTAGTGAAGAAAGGCTCTTGTCACCAAGCTTGACCTGAGTTTTATTCCTAGGACCTGCACAGCGGAGGGAGAAAACCAGCTCCTGAAAGTTGTCCTTTGACTTTCCCCGCACATGTGCAGTGACTTGTGCATGTGTGTGCACACACAAATGAGTATGATTTTTAAAAACCAAAAGAGGTGAACAGCCCCAGAGAAACAACACCCACGGTTGACCTCTGGCCTCCACAGACATGTACACACATACATGCTCACTCACACACACACATACAAATAACACTGTGGATGGGGTGGGAAGGCTAAGTTTGTGGTTGGCACTCACACTGGCATGATAGGTAGGGATTTAGGGGTCTCTGAGCTGTGGCCCTCCCCCCCATCCTCTCCAAAATGTTCATTAGCAAATCCTGGTTAAGCAATATAAGAGACCTGGCCACAAGTGGCTCTCATGGTCTCCTGAGACAGGCCTCTGAGATGTGTTGGCTGGACCAGGAATGTATAGTAGGAGTGCTTGTGTGAAGGATTGGTCTGTTGGTGCAATTCAGAAACTGTTTTGTAAGCAGTGTGGATTAAGGAGGGTTTTGCTGGGCCTGGAAAAATGGCTCAACAGTTAAGAGCACTGACTGCTTTTCCAAAGGACCCAGGTTCAGTTCCTAGCACCTACATGGTTAACAACTCTCGGTAACTATAGTTCCAGGGGATCTGATGCCCTCTTCTGGACTCCCAGGCTTTACATACATGTGGTGTACTTATATATATGCGGGCAAAACACTCATACACATTAAATAAAAATAAATAATTTTAGGGCTGGAGAGGTGGCTCAACAGTTAAGAGCACTGAGTACTCTTACAGAGGACCCAGGTTCAGTTCCCAGCACCCACATGGTAGCTAACAGTCGTCCGTAACTCCAGTTCCAGGCCGCCTTCTGATCTCTGCAGGCATTGCATGACCCAGGTGCACTTACACACATGCAGGCAATACACTCATACACATAAAATAAAAATAAAATAAATTTTAAAAAAGAAATAATTTTTAAAAATAGAGTTTTTCTGAGGTAGAAGAGATGGACAGAGAGAGGCAGAGTTCAAACAAACTGATGATAAATCAGGACCCTGTTGCATCTAGGCCTCGTCACATAAATAATTTGAACTAGTTTAATTTTTATTTCTCTAGTTGGAAAATCAGTCATGCTTATTATAAAAAGTATGAATAATTTAGAAACAAACCTCAGTGTTGACAGAAGACATCTCTTTCAGGCATGTGGAAACAGCTTTCCTGATTTTCTTCTCTGTTGGGCTCACACATACACAATCTGTGAGTAATTGTGATTGAGCAGCAAGTTAGACTTAAACGTTTGTAACTAAGATCAGAACTCAGTTCCGATCATCTGAGTCAGGCCAGCACTAAAAGCAAAGACAAAGTAGAAATTTATGTTTGGGAAAGTTGGGGCATATGTCAGAGGAAGAGTTTGTTGGAGCTGAGGGTGGAACTGAATTTATGATCTGCCTCCTGGTGGTGCTGCCCAGAGCACTGGGCCCACCAGACCCTGCCTGCTGTTGCTGGTGCCCCCTGAGCAGGAAGAGTTGTTCAGGCACCTGGAGTTCTTTCCCATCCCTGTTTCTCCTGCTCAAATTCTCCTGGGCCCTAAGTAGCTGCAGTCTCTCCATCTTTGGATTGGACCAACCCTGGACCAATGTGTGTATTTCTGTGTTTGCATGGAGGCCAGATGAATTCTTGTGGAAGTTCGTTCTCTTTCTATCTTGTGGGTCCAGGAGATCAGTTTAGGTCCTCAGGCTTGTTGGCTCACAGGCCCCAAATGATACATTGTTGCTGGTATGTAGTGCTGTGTGCTGGGCTGTAGCTCTGTGACAGTTACATGTGTACTAAACAGGTACAGAGTTTATCTTGTCTTCCTTTAAGAAACAAAATATAGCTATTTACAACCTTTATGTTGTATCAAGGTTTAGAAGTCATCCAGAGGTGATCTGTGTGTGTGATTCTCTGGGGTATGCACAGAAAGACATCAGGCGTCCTCTCTCTCCAATGAGATAGGGTCTCTCATTGAACTAGGAGCTGACTAGATTCAGCAGGGCTGGCTTGGCAGTGAGCCTTTGGGATACTTTTCTCTCTCGGCACTGGAGTTACAGATACACACTGCTACATGGCTCTTTTTTAGATTTTTATTTTATGTGTGATGTGCGTGTGTGCGTGCGTGCGTGCGTGCATGCGTGTGTGTGTGTGTGTGTGTGTGTGTGTGTGTGTGTGTAAGCCCACAGAAACCAGAAGAGGGCATCAGATCTCATGGAACTGGAGTTACAGGTGGTTATAAGCTGCCTAACATGTGTGCTAGGAACCAAACTCAGGTCTTTTGCAAGAGCAGCAAGTAGTCTTAACTTCTGGGCCATCCTTCCAGTCCCCATGCCTGCCTTTTCCATGGCTTCTGGGCCTAGAACTCAAGTCCCCATTCTAGAATGGCTAGGACTTTACCCACCCAGCGGTCCCTCAGCCCTGCTCATTTCATTTTGATGTTTTTTTTATTTTGCTTTGACCCACTAAGCCACTGTGGGGCAGATGATCTTTCCTGAAGGGTGTGATTTTTCCAGTCCTCTGCAGCCACAAGCAGCCCTTTGCCCAGTGAGGCAGGTGATGCTTTTGGGAGGCCCATGGGCACCCCTGTGCCCTCCTGCCAGGCAGAATGGCAGGAATTCAAATGAACTGAGGCAGTGATATTGGATCTTTTGCTTTGCAGGGACAGTGAAGGTAAAGAGTTCCAACATCCAAGTGGGAGATCTCATCATTGTGGAAAAGGTGAGTGGAATCTGGAAGCTTCTTAGGGGCGGGACTGCTGTGGGAACAGGAGTGGTAGGGAAATGGTCCATGACTTGGTGGAGCCCATCCTGTGCTCTGTGCAGCTGGTAAACTAGCCATTCTCTTTAGGGTTGTGGCTAACGGCTTTGCCTAGGGGAGAAAAGCCTCTTTCCCATGAGACAAACACAAAAGTATTTCTCCAAGGTGCCTGTGTGCTGGGGAGCTAGGAGCCCTGCTCATAAACACAAGTACCAGTTTGATTTCTGACTCAATGTGTTTATTGTTTCCATCATAAAGTCTCTCCTACAAGTTGGTTTGCCACATTGACACTTGAAAATATTTATCAAGTTCACCTTTGGAGAAACATTAACCTGCATTCCCCCACACCCACCCACATACACACAGAGTGCCTGACAACCATTTTATGGGGAACAGGGGTAAAGCACAGCACGGAACAGCAAAAAGTCACAAGTGCTTTTTAAACTCAGCAGTGTTGACATCTGCTACCTCAGCAAACATGGCAGGTCTTCGTCTGTGTGTGTTTGGAGGGCATGCGATTTGGGGGTGGGCGGGACAGGAGAGTCGGGATAATATTTGGTGAGAAAAGAATTCTGTATCTTACCTTGCTTTAAAACTGTGCTCTTTCAAAGGATTAAAATCACTCAAAGTTGGCTTGAGTTAGACGGAAGCTGGGGTTGCACAGCACCTCAGGCCCGCCTATACCATATGTCTGCTCCTGGCTTCTCTCTCTATTTTTTATTTTTAAACTTTTATTTGTTTTGAGATAAGGTCTCACTGTGTAGACCTGGCTGTCCTGGAACTTTTAGACCAGGCTGGCCTTGAACTCATAAAAATCTTTCTGCTTCTGCCTCTTGAGTGCTGGGATTAAAGGTATGCACTATCTCCTGGCCCCCCCCCCCTTTTTTTTTTTTTTTATATTTTTGAGACAGGGTCTCCCTATACCAGAGCCGCTTCTTCCTCTTGGGTGCTGGCATTAAAGGTAGTCCTTATCTCCTGGCCCCCCCCCCCTTTTTTTTTTTTTGAGAATGGCTTTTGTATTTCTCGCTGCTTTATGAAAATCCTACTGAAAGCCCAGCAGGAGGACTGGGGCATGGCTTAGTTGGTAAAATGCTTGCCACATACAAGCTTGAAGACCCAAGTTCCATCTCGAAAAAGCTGGACATGGTGGCATGCACATGCAGTCCCAGGACTGAGGAAGCAGAGACAGGCGGATCCCTGGGGCTCACTGGCCAGTGAGAGACTCTGCTTCAAAACATAAAAGGTGAAAGGCTCCTGAGGAAGAATACTGGAGGTTGACCTCTGGCCTCCATACTCACACATGCATACATGTGCATGTATGTCTACATAGACACACACCCACACCCATGTGCATGCTCATGTGCTCACACACGTACACACACACACACACACAGAGAAAGAAAAAGGGGGGGAGCTAAACGTGGAGATAGAAAATTGGCAGAAGTGGGAAGCCCTGTCAGATAGCACTCAAAGCTCTGTGCTGAGTGCCGACAGCTGGCTGGGGAGGACAGCCGCTGGAGGAGCTCTGGCTGCAGGTTCAGGGGGTAACAGTGGGGCTTGCCAGATGACGTGTTGCAGGGGGTTAGTAAAGTACCAGCAGCTTGCAAGATTTTGCAGACCCCAAACAAAATTCAGCCCCTACATTATCTACGATAAAGGCCGCTACTTAAAAGATGGTTAGGCTGTGGCTGGCCGCTTCACTCCCCACTGGAGCTGGGGCAGAGCCCTCACCATAGCCGCTCACCTTAATCCCTTCCTTTTTGTTCTCCAGAACCAGCGGGTTCCTGCTGACATGATCTTCTTGAGAACATCGGAGAAAAACGGTAAAACATCTGAGATCAATTTGGAAAATAACCACTAGCCTTTCTGTGGTAATTGGGCAAAATAATCATCTGAAAATGCCACAGAAGTAGATAACATTTTGGAGCCATACAGGCAAATGAGAAATGACTCAGTAGAGCATTCTTTCACAGCTAAAAGTATTTTGGGTGTTTGTCGGTTAATAGATTTTAAGTCATTAAACACACAGAAAACTTGGCTGGCAAGATGGCTCAGTAGGTGAAGGTGCTGGCTGTCAAATCTAACAACCTGAGTTTGATCTCTGGGACCCACAGGATAGAAGGAGAGAACTGACTCCTACAGGTTGTCCTCTGACTTCTACATGCTCAGTGTGCTGTGTATGTACCAATACACACTATAAATAAATAATGTAATAAACATTTAAAAAAAAAACAAACAGTAAAGCTGGGCACACCTGTAACCCCAGCACTCAGGAAGCTGAGACAGGATTGCATGGAGCTGGTTTCACCTGGGCTCCATAGTGAAACCCTGTCTCAAAAAGACCAAAAACCACAAAACAAAGAACAAATCCCACACAGGATTAACAGTGTTCTGTCTTGGTGCTCAGAAGTTCTTTTGTTTTTCATGTTTGTGTCATGTGAACATGTGTGTATTTATGTTTATGTGTTTACAGCACATGTATGGAAGTCAGAGGACAGCCTGGGTCCTCTGGGGGGTCAGTCTTCACCTTCTTTCCTGTTTGAGACAGCGTCTTTTCACTGTTATGTCAGCCACACTGGCCAGCCAGTGAGCTGCTCCTGTCTGCACCTCTCATCTTGACATAGGGAAGCTGAGATTACAGACGTGTTATACTGTGTCTAGCTTTATGTGGGCAATTTACCTCTGAGCCTTCACCCCCTAGTCCCAGTACTCAGAGGTCTTAGCTACACACCGATGAACTGAACTCATTTCCTCTCTGATCCACTGTCACAGAGCTAATGACAGGAACTGTGTGAGAGAGGAAATGTCCCTAAGATGTACCAGCCCATCCAAGTCAGTGTCCCTCACTGCAAATACTTGGAACAAGGAGTGTTTCAGATTTGGAGTTTTTGTGCCTGAAATAATGTTTCTTTGTGTAGGATTTTCTACTTGTGGCCTTCATGTTTAAAAAGTTGTAGGGATGGGACTCAATTGGCAGAGTGGCTCAAGTTCTTGCCTTGTATGCTCCAGGCCCTGGGTTCAGTTCCAAGCTTGTCATAAAACCAGGTGTGACAGCACACATCTGTGGAGGCAGGAGGGCCAGAAGTTCAAAGTCATCCTTGTCTACATAAGGCGTTCAAGGCCAGCTGGGCAAACTTGAGGTTGATTGTCTCTAAATACATCAATTGTTTCTGATTTTGAAGCATTACAAATTTGGGGTTTCTGTGTTAGTGGGGCCCACTCTACAGTGAGAGCAGACACTGGGATGGTTCTTTCCAGAAGCAACGTCCTGAGCCCATGGCTCAGCTCCTCAGCTCTCACAAGAACCCTGGAGGGGAGCTCTCTTACTTTATCCATTCCTACATACAGAGGACCCGAGGCTCAGAGACATCAGGCCAGTAAGTGACAAACCTTAGACCCAAACCCAGGTGGCTCAGGTCCTGAGAAGGAGCTTGTCATCAGTGCCCAGGTTGGCCTCAGGGTGGCTGTTCACTGCTCCATCACCTACTGGCTTCTTACAACAGACTTGAGATGACTGTTTCTCCCTTTTCATGGGTCAGGACAGGCTATGACCAGCAAAGTCCAGCTCCCAGCCCAGTATCCCACAGTGAGCAAATGGCCCAGTGAGGATCTGAACTCAGAGCTAGTGGAGGAGGTGGGAAGTAGGGGTTTGTTTTCCCTTTGACTCACTGGCCATTGGTAGGTTATTTTCGCAAGGACCAGAGTTGCTGAAGGAAAGAGGCTTGAGTCAGGTCTCCAGACAGTGCCCAACTTCTCTCTGCAGGGTCTTGCTTTCTGCGCACTGATCAGCTAGACGGAGAGACGGACTGGAAGCTGCGGCTGCCTGTGGCCTGCACGCAGAGGCTCCCCACGGCTGCTGTGAGTAGCTGTTCTTGCAGAACCACACACTAGTACCAAATCACTGACCAGCTTTCAAACTCAGATGTACTTGGGGACAAGGCCTGTGACATGTGATATGGGGCTGGTGGGGCCCTGAGAACCTAGAGCCCTTGTTGGTTCCCACATGGCTGTAGTGGAGGCAGGCTCCCCACACAGGGAGCGAGCTCTTCTAAGGGTGGCCTCTCCAGGGGGCCAACTTGAAAGGGACTACCCATGTGTGGTCCCTCTGCCAAGAGTCTCCAAAGGCATCTTCTCAGCTGAGATCCAGGTCTATAGCTCTTGCCATAGTCCTCAGCCACATCAGTGGTCTCTCTTCTAACTTGGTGACCGCCCCTATGTCCCCTGCCCCCTGGCTACCTGTGTAGCTCCCTGGGACTGTTCCTGACACTTCCTCTGTAAGAAATGCTCTTCTCCAGGGTCAGCCTGCCTGGGCCCATCATGTAGGCTTTTGTGCAAAGTGTCTGTATTTATTTTGGTTTGGTTTGGTGGTGTTTCCCTTGGTGGTGCTGGGAATTGAACCCAGAAGTTTGTGTATGCTAGGTAAGTGTCTTACCACAAAGCTATATCCCCACCACGCCGGGCTCTAATTGTTTTTAAAATTACATTTTTGTCTGTGTGTGTGTGTGTGTGTGTGTGTGTGTGTGTGAGGGAGTCAGTTCTTTTCACTTTGTGGGTCCCAGGGACCTACATGAGCCCATCAGGCTTGGCTGCAAGTGCCTTTACCCATGGAGCCATCTCACTGGCCCATGCCAAATGCAATTTGAATGCCCAGAGACCAGCTTGCCCACCATTAGGAATGGTTAAGTAGAGCATGCCTGCTCTTTGTGGCTCAGTGTGTCAAGGGAGTTGTGGGAGGGGCAAGTGCTGAGCCTTAGTGGTATCAGGATCATAATAAACAGGCCCTCATACAATTCACCATGGCTCATAAATGTGAAGATGCACCCTTCTTGATGTTAATTTTTAAACCAGGAATTCCAGAGCAGCGAGTTTCTAGCCACAGTCCAGGAGCCCTGGAAACCTCCCTGCCTGTGGGTTGGAGCTAATCTAAGGATGGGGCTCTGATCTTATCTGGGCATGTGTTTTATTTCCTGGTAGGAATTTCCCAGGGAAAGGGATCTGACCCTTAAATTGATTGTAAGGGCTTTGTGCCAGAGTCAGAAACAAAGATGCTAGCATGTTCCCCAGCCTCAGTTCGGAAGCACCCTGGTTTGATAGACACTCACTGTACCTCTGTCTGGCCCAGACCTGGGCTGGGGTTTAAAAATAGATAAGATACTGCTGGATCTGCTGTCTGGGAGACAGCCATTGTCTCACTGGGCTGCAAGGGATGAAGGGGAACAGCCTTTTAGAATCATTTTGGAGTAAACTAATGGCAACAAAAGCTTGCCTGAGTTAATATTCGGATGCATTCTTGGCTCAAAACAAACAAATCAAACTGCATGGTAAGCTGTAGAAGAAAAGTGTGAAGTCTTGCTCTATCCCAAATTTTATCTTCTTCCCAGAAGGAATCTTGTAAAATAGGTGGTGATCCTTCCAGATCTTTCTCAGTGTACTTCCATGTGGATGCAGACTTGTGATGGTGGTTCTATGTAAACAGGCCCAGACTGTCCTTGTTACTCTGGGACCATCCCCAGCTCCAGGTTTAAGGAATCTCTGGGATTTTTTTTTTTTTTTTTATCAACTCAGGAGGCCACTTTGCAACTCCAGTACCTTCTAAGTGGTTATCAGGAGTGCAGGCCCTGTCTGAGGGGTGGCCAGTAGCAGCTGCTAGGTACCAGACCCCTCCTGCCACCCCCCCCAACCCCCTGTCTGCCCTGTCTGCCCTGTCTGCCCGACTGCTTGGTTGTTTCTGAAACAGAACTCCTTTGTTTTGTTTCTTTTATGTTTTTAAGAAAGAGTGTCCCTATGTAACCCAGGTTGGCCTTGAACTCTTGATCCTTCTGACTCTGTCTTCCTAGTGCCCAATCTCAAATCATTCAAATTGCCACATGGGTAGTTCACTGAAAATTCAGAGCACAGGTCCTGTCTCTTTTGTATTTGCACAATATTTCAGGACTAAGTTGTCCATTTCCTTTGTGTGTGTGTGTGTGTGTGTGTGTGTGTGTGTGTGTGTGTGTGTGTGTGTCTGTGTGTGTGTGTGTGACTCAGGATTAAACTCAGGCCCTGCATATGCTAGGCTAGTGCTCTGCCACTGAGCTATGTCCCTAGGCCTTTGTTAGCCAGGCAGCTTGGTATGTTGGTTTCTTTGTGTCCAGTTACCAGGGATTGAACCCAGAGTCTCGTGTGTGCTAAGTAAGTACTCTATCACTGAATTGCATCTCAAGCACATGTTGGTTTCAATTTATTATTATTATTTTTGTATGTGTATGAGTGTTTTGCCTGCATGTAAGTGCACTATTGCATGCATGGGTATTCTTACATACATATATGCAATACCTGTGGAGGCCAGAAGAGGGACAGTTGTTAGCCACCATGTAGGTGCTGGGAACTGAACTCGGGTCCTTTGCAAGAGCAGCCAATGCTCTTTACCGCTGAACCATCTCTCCAGCCCCATTACCTTTTCTTGTTTTTTTTTTTTTTTTTTTTTTTTTTTTTTTTTTTTTTTTTTTTGTAGCCCCAACTGGCCTGAAACAAGCTATGTAAGCCAGGCTAGCCTTTATCTCCTGGAGATCCACCTGCCTCTGCCTTCCCCATACTGGGATAAAGGTGTGTACCACCACGCCTACCTGCATGTTGGTTTTAAAGTAAGGTTCATGGGGCTGAAGATTGACTCAGTTGGTAGAGTGCTTATCTAGACTTCATGAAGCCCTGGGTTTGACCCCCAGCACCACATAAACTATGCATGGTGGCTGTCATCCTAGCACTTGGCAGGTGGGGGCAGGAGGATCAGAAGCTCGAGGCCATCCTCAGCTACATAGTGAGTTTGAGGCCAGCCTAGGTACATGAAACCCTCTCTCTAAATAAGCAAACTTGCTTCCCTTTTTCTTATAAACGATCTATCTCTATGTCCCTTTGAAATATCAAGTGAAGGGGAGGCAAGGGGCTTTCTGATAAAAAATGGGGTGGGAAGTTTAGTGGTGGAGGGCTTGAGTAACGTGTGTGTGCCCCAGACTTTGTCCACAGTACCACAAAAACATAACAAATTAAAAAATAACAAGAACAGGAACCAGAGAGATGGCTCAGTGGTTAAGAGCACTTGCTGCTCTTCTAGAGAACCCAGATTTGAGTCTCAGCACCCACCTGGTGGCTCACAACTGCCTGCACACACATGATACACATACATACATGCAGGCACACACATATACACATAAAATTAAAATTTAAAAAATAACAAGAACCTCTAAAAGGCCAGGCTGGGATACTCCTAAATAGCTGCTTCTGGGAGCTGTCATTTTTAGGGGAGACAACTGCCTTAGCTTGCCTAGCCCCTATAGGACCTCCTGACTCCCCAGGGCAGATGGACAGGATCATAGCACTGGTTTAAAGATTTTTGTTAAGGGCTGGACAAATGTCTTAGCAGTTAATTAAGGTCACTGGCTGCTCTTGCAGAGGACCCAGGTTTGGTTCCCAGCACTCACATAGCAGCTGATTAATCATCTATAACTCCAGTTCCAGGGGATCTGATACCCTCTTCTGACCTCTTCAGGCATTACACAACACAGGTGCACTTACCTACATGTAGGCAATGCACTCATACACATAAAAATAAATAAAATATATAAATTTTTTATTATTTTTATTTTATGTGTATGAGTGTTATGCCTGCATGTAGGTAAGTGCACCCGTGTCCTGCAATTCCTGCGGAGGCCAGAAGAGGCTGTCAGATCCCCTGGGACTGGAGTTACAGATAATTGTTAGCTGCCATGTGGGTGCTGGGATTCGAACCCAGGTCTTCTGCAAGAACAACAGTGTTCTTAACCACTGAGCCATCTCTCCAGCCCCCAAAATACATTTTTTTTTTCGGTCTTTTTGAGACAGGGTCTCCCTGTAGCCCCAGCTGTCCTGGAACTCACTATGTAGACCAGGCTGGCCTCAAACTCACAGAGATCCACCTGCCTTTGCCTCCCGAGTGCTGGAATTAAAGGCGTGTGCCACCACACCCAGCAAATAAAAAATTTTTAAAAAGATATTTGTTAAAATGAAAAAGTCAGGACTGGTAAGATGGTTCAGTGGGTAAGGGAGCATGCCACAAAGGCTGAGGATTGGAGTTGAATCTCTGGGACCCATGTGATAGGGGAGAGGATTGACTCCTGTAAGTTGTCCTCTTAGTGCCACGTGTGCTCGGCAGGGAGAGGCTGTGGGGGTAGGGAGAGAGAAATAAACTGTAAAAAACATCAGAGAATGAGGAAAGGGAGGAAGAGCAGCACTGTGAGCATCCTCCTTGTGCTGCTCCTCTGAGCTGTAGTGGTACGCATACAGGTAAGGAGACAGAGGCCAGGAACTCCAGGATGGCTCCAGACTCACGCTGCTGAGGGTGCTGCGGGTGCTGGGTTTGCTCTGGCGCTAAGCGTGCATGGCCGCACCTGTGACCAGCGAGTGACGGATTAAGGATGTGAACTCAAGTTCTCAAAGCAGATGGTCTTCCCATTAGGTAGGAACAAAAGCTTGAGAAAAATGAACAGAAGGTAAATCCATAGTGGGCTGGCAAGGTGGCTCAGCAGGTAAAGGTGCTTGTTGTCGAGCTTGACGACCTGATTCGATCCCTGGGAACCACATGATAGAGAATCAGCTACAGTAAGGTGGTCTTTGACCTCCACATGCATGCACAACGTGTGCTTGCCCACACAGAGACACACGCACAATATAGAAATAAATGTAATACATTAAAAGATGAGTCAGCTGGGGACACGTTTAGTTCTAGCACTTAGGAGGCAGAGGCAGGCGGATCTCTTTGAGTTCCAGGCCAACCTGGTCCACATAGTGAGTTCTAGACCAGCTGGGGCTATAGGGAGACCCTGTCTCGAAAAGACAAAAGAGAGGAGTCCGTAGCCAGTAATCTACTCACAAGCACTTCAAGAACACAGGCCCAGTCCCTCAGTGGATCCTGAGACCCTGAGTGGACAGGAGCCTGTTCAAGTTTTTGCTACTCCACCACGCTTAAGCGTGAATGAGGGTCATCAAGACAAGTGGGAGACATTATAACAATGAGCACCAGGTGTGGTGCTTTGTGCCTGTCATCCCAGCACTGGGGAGATGGAGGCAGGAGAATCAGGAGTTCAAGGTCAACTCAGCTGTAGTGAGTTCAAGGCCAGCCTGGACTATAGGAAACAAAAGTAAAGTAAAATAAGCTGGGTGTGGTGGCGCACTCCTTTAATCCCAGCACTTAAGAGGCAGAGGCAGGCAAATCTCTGTGAGTTCAAGGCCAGCCTGGTCTACATAGTGAGTTCCAGGACAGCTAGGGCTACAGGGAGATCCTGTCTCAAAAAGACAAAAAGTAAAGTAAAATAATACATCCTGTTAATGGTTCTGTGAAGCTGGTACAAGTCAAGATAGATTAGCATCTTTGGACTGCAGCGGTGGGAGGTGACTCTGGGTGTGGAGTCTGCAGTCCTTAGGACACAGTGATGATTTTGGTTTTTCACATCCACCCTGCCACTTCTTCTTGGGAACCTCTGTCCCAGCTTACAGTGTTCCCTGTTCCACACCAGAGCAGATCTTTCTAAGCAGTCCCTGCCTGCCCCTCCCTGCAGCCTCCCCGACTCTGCCTGTCTTTGTTCTAGGAGGGCTCTCCCCTGCCCTGCCTGTCCTGTTCCACCTCACACAGCCTTTCTTTGAGCTGTGGTTGCCCATGCCGTTCACATTTTCCTTGTCTATTTTTTTGAGACAGTGTCTCCCTGTAGCCCCAGCTGACCTGGGACTCGCTATATAGACCAGGATGGCCTCGAACTCACAGAGATCCCCCTTCCTCTGCTGGCATTAAAGGTGTAAGCTACCACACTGGGCCATTTTCCTTGTCTTTTAAAAAATATTTATTTTATGTGTATGAGTGTATTGTCTGCATGTATGTAAGTGTACCCATGTCATGCAGTGTCCATGGAGGTCAGAAGAGGGTGTTGGATCCCCTGGAACTGGAGTTATAGACTGTTGTTAGCTGCCATGTGGGTGCTGGGAATTGAATCCAGGTCCTCTGTAAGAGCAGCCAGTGCTCTGAACCACTGAGCCATCTCTCCAGCCCTGTATTTTCCCTGTCTTATTTCTTGTCTGAGTTTGGCTTCTTGCTTACTTGAAAAAAAAATTGTAGAATATACACAGTATAAAATTTACCACTGGTCAGGCGTGGTGGTGCACACTTTTAATCTCAACACCCAGGGGGCAGAGGCAGGCGGATCTCTGTGAGTTCGAAGCCAGCCTGGTTTCCATGGTGAATCCAGGACAGCTGGGGCTACAAAAGCCTGTCTCAAAAAGACCAAAAAAAAAAAAAATTTACCATCGAGGGCTGGAGAGATGGCTCAGCAGTTAAGAACACTGGTTGTTCTTGCAGAAGACCTGGGTTCAAATCCCAGCACCCACATGGCAGCTAACAACAGTCTATAACTCCAGTTCCAGGGGATCCGACAGTCTCTTCTGTCCTCCGAGGCATTGTACGACATGGGTGTGCTTACCTACATGCAGGCAATACATTCATACACATAAAATAAAAATAATAAATAAGATTTTTTTAAAAAAAAATTACCATTGTGAGGGCTGGTGCAATGGCTCAGCAGTTAAGAGCGCATGCTGCTCTTCCAGAGAACCCAAGTTCTAGCTCCCAGCCTGCAACACCAGCTTCAGAAATCAAAGCCCTCTTCTGGCCTCTGTGGGCATGCACACAAGGGGTGTATATGTATGTGCACACACACAAAAATCTTTAAAATGTACCATCTTTTTGTTGTTGTTTGTTTTTTGAAACAGGGTCTCCCTGTAGCCCCAGCTGTCCTGGAACTCTCTATGTAGACCAGGCTGGCCTTGATGTCACAGAGATCCACTTGCCTCTGCCTACCAAGTGCTGGGATTAAAGGCATGTGCTACCACACCTGGCCCTAAAATTTACCATCTTAACCCCTTCAAAGGGGCATTAAACACATAGACATTACTGAGGAGCTGTGTCTACCATCCATCTCCAGAACTCTTTATCTGCCCTGCCACCTCCTGAAACCACTATTCTTAGTTTCTGTCTTGGACTACTCCAGGGCCTCATGTAAGTGGAGTCACACAGCACTGGTCTGTGTGTGTGACTGGTTCATTTCACTTAGCATAATGTTCTCTAAAGTTCATCTATGTGGTAACATGTGCCAGGATCTCTTCCCTCTTTAAGGTTGAGTAATACTCCACAGTGAGCATGCATCACATTTTGCTTATTCGTTCCTCCATGATGGAAGACTGGGTTGCTTGTCCCTCTTGGCTTTTGTGAATAACATACATGGGCGAGCACATATCTCTTCAAGTCTTGCTTTGGATTCTTTTGGACGTACACCCAGAAATGGAGTTAGGGGAGCCTGTGGTAATTTTCCGTGGACTTCTGTGAGGAAGTGCCAAGTGGCTGTGCTATTTTTCATATGGTGGTTCCTGTCTCTGTATCCTTGGCAGCCCTTGCTGTTCTCTGTTCACTTTGCTGAACATCCCACTGGCTATGAGGCATTCTTTTGCAGACCTTCCCAGGGCCTTGCACACAAGAGGTGCCTAATATGTGTTTGTTAAATGAGCAACTATTTCACTGGATGAGACACCTTACAGGCCAGGCAGGGGTCAGTCAGCCTGGGGGTTCTGCCCATTTCAAGGCTATTCCAGCTCTGCAGTGTCATCTGTACCATGCTCAGTGGATGAGGTTAACAGGTGTCTGTTCCAGGGGACTATGAGATACTGTATGTAGCACCTCTTAAACTGCCTTAAGGGGGGGATTTTCTTCTTTCACCTGCTTTGTGATTTTGAGTCTCTTTGGGAAATACAGTTGCTTTTGAAATCTTGGCTCCTAACCCTATGTTTCCTCTGTTAAACAGGACCTCCTGCAGATCCGATCCTATGTGTATGCGGAAGAGCCCAACATCGACATCCACAACTTTGTGGGGACTTTCACTAGGGTGAGCAGACCTGCAGAACAGGAGTCTCATTGTAGAGCATGTGGCCACCTGTTGCTGCTTCTGTGTCCGAGGCTTTGCACTCAGGCCTCACCTTGAAGGAGCATCACGTGTTGTCCTCAGCATTAACTTCTGATGTCTAAACACAGTCACTGTTTTCTCCAGACAGAGCATGTCCTCTTTGATCACACAGATCCTCTGTGCCAGCCGACCTTGGTGGCATACTCCTGTAATAATCCCAGCACTTGAGAGGCTGAGGCAGGAAGGTTGCCATGAGTTCAAGGCCAGCCTGGGCTACATAGTGAGATTATCTCAAAACAGACAAACCAAACCACAGAAAAAATCAAACCCTGCATGCTAACTTTGTAATTTAAACCACTTTCAGACTTTTCATAACAGAAACTAAATGGGAATTTATTTTTGGAATACAAGTTTAAAATAGACATAGAGAGCAGATAATAAGTGGCTTGTGTTCTCTGAATCTTGAAACTTGCCAACCAAGAGCCTGATAGGTTCTTCTCTGCCTTTCACTGTTGCCTTGTAAAGCTGTGAGTGACGAAACCTCCAGAGGGGTGGGTTGTGGATGAACTCGGCCTTCTTTCACAGCTCAGCTGGGGGATTAAATATGGGGGTGGGGTGCTCCCTGATTTCATTAGATGGAGACCTATTTCTACTTGAAGAAGAATAGACTGGAAATCAACCTAGGAACAGTTGCTCCCCTCTTATCTGTGGATTGTCAACTGCAAGTTCAACCAATTGTGCATTGAAGATTTATACTTATATTTTTGTATTTATATTTGAGACAGGGTCTCATGTAGCCCAGGTTGGCCTCAGAGCACACTATGTAACTGAGGATGACCTTAAACATCTGATCGTCTTGTCTCCACATCCTGAGTGCTGGAATTACAGGCATGCTCCACCACATCCACTTTATTCTGTGCAGGGTAACTTCTTGCATTCTAGGCAAGCAGGGCTTGCTTGCCACTCACTGAGCCACACCCTCAGCCCTGACCTTGAATTTCTGATCCTCTTGCCTCTGCCTCCTGGGATTACAAGTGTGTACCACCATGCTTGGTTTATGTTGCTGAGGATGGAATCGAGGGCTTCATTTCATGCAAGCACACTACCCACTGAGACACATCCTCAGCTCACTGAAGGTATTTAATTAATTAGTTAATTAATTCTAATTTATTTTCAGTCAGGGTCTCACTATGTAGGACTGACTGGCTTGGAACTCACTGTGTAGACTAGGCTGGCCTCAAACTCACAGAGATCGCCTGCTTTTGCCTCCTATGTGCTGGGATTAAAGGTGTGTGCTACCATGCCTGTCCAATTGAAGGCTTTTTTTTTTTTTTTTTTTTTTAAATCTTTTTGAGACAGGGTCTCTCTGTAGCCCCAGCTGACCTGGAACTCACTGTGTAGACCAGGCTGGCCTTAAACTCCCAGAGATTCACCTGCCTCTGCCTCTGGAGTGCTGGGATTAAAGGTATGTGTTACCATGCCTGGCTTCCATTGAAAGTATTTTAAGTTGTACTAAAGAGGCCAGTGCTTTTTGTTTTTATCATTAACCCTAACAATACAATGTAGCAGTTATTTCCCGTGCATCTGCTCTGTGCTAGGTACTTTAAGTCCAGCAACCGATTCAGAGTATAGGGGTAGAGGCTGGAGAGATGGCTCAGTGATTAAGGGCTTATTGCCTTTGCTGAGGACCAGAGTTTGGTTCCCAGCACCCACATTGGGCAGCTCGTAATTGCCTGTAACTCCAGCTCCAGAGGCTCTGACACCCCCTTCTGGTCTTCTTGGGTGGGTACCTTCACTCATGTACATACCCACACACATAGATAAATAAAAATAATTTTTTTGATTGGCCTTGAACTCAGCGATCTGCCTGCTTCTGCTTCCCAACTACTGGGATTAAAGAAATGTACCACCATGGCAAAAATAAATCTTTAAAAACAGTATATTTCAGGGCTGGAGAGATGATTCAGTGGTTAAGAGCACTGGTTGCTCTTGCAGAGGACCTGGATTTGATTCCCAACACCCACATGGTAGTTAACCATCCCTAACTCCAGTTCCAGGGGAATCTGATGCCCCCTTCTGTCCTCTGTGGACATTGCCTGACACAGGTATGCCTACATACATGCAGGCAATACACTCATACACATAAAATTAAAAAAAAATAAATAAAAAATATATTTTTGAAACAGTGTCACCCTGTAGTCCCACCTAGCCTGGAACTCACTATGTAGACCAGGCTGGCCTTGAACTCACAGAGATCCACCTGTCTCTGCCTCCAGAGTGCTGGGATTAAAGGCATGCACCATCATGCCTGGCCTAAATAAAATGTCTTTTTAAAGTATATTGCCCATTCATCTGCATCCCATGAAAAAATCTGTCATATTTTGGTGCTGAGACTCAGTTTCTCATGAATGTTAGGTAAGCATTATACCATTGAGCTATACCCACAACCACACCAAAACTACCTTTTTTTTTTGAGACAAGTTTTCGCCCAGGCTGTTCTTAAACTCATGATTTTTCTGTCTTAGCCTCTCAAGTGCCAGGATTATGGGCCTGCATGCCACTATGCTGGGCAAAAGTACTACTTAATTGTGTGTGTGTGTCTGTGTTTGTGTCTGTGTGTGTTTTGCTAAGGACAGGACCTAGGACTTTGTATATGCCAGCAAGTGCCCTACCACTTCCCACAGCCCCAACCAAACCCTGCCCTGGAGCAAGAACTGGAGTTACGGATGTCGTTAGCTGCCGTTGGGTGCTGGGAATCGAACCCAGGTCCTCTGCAAGAGCAGCCAGTGCCCTTAACTGCTGAGCCACCTCTCTAGCCCCAAATCCTACCATTTCATATATTGAGTATCTTCAGACTTTAGCATCTGTGGGAACCCTGGACCCCATCCCTGTGGGAAGTGGGGGATGCCCATGGGTGAATATATGCATTTGTTATTTTCAGGAAGACAGTGACCCTCCAATTAGCGAGAGTTTGAGCATCGAGAACACGCTGTGGGCTGGCACTGTCATCGCCTCAGGTGAGATGCCTGGCCGAGGAATGGGAACAATTTCAACTGGAAAGAAAATCCTCCTGTAATTAGAATAATCACCTGTCAGCTGGGAAAATGAGTTGTCTGTCAAGTGGAGTTCCCCACTTGCCCCACCACCTCCAGGGGTATCTACTGACATCTAATTTCGGGTAGGACACTTGCAGACTCACATGGCCTGTGTTTCTACAGTATCCACACTGGGTATAGCTTGTAATTACTTCAGTTGACATTGTAATCTGTACCAGAAATTGAGGTGGCCTAGATGTTTGGGCCAGAAGCCACATCTGTGGGGACTGCCACTGTGCCCTGACTGTCTACCCTAGGGGCAGGGACAGTAGGGCACTGGGAAGGCTGGGTCTCTGTTGAAGACACAGGAGTTAGGAATGATGGCTTTGGAGTTGCTTGCTAGAATGACATTGATGAGAGGGGCCGGGCTGAGCCTGGCCCAGGGCAGCGGGGATTTCTCCTGGCAGCATGCAGCAGTGTCGGGGTTCTGACCTCAGCTCTGTTGGGTGTCACATACTTTACCCTCCTGGCAGCACCCAGGGGTCAGACACTGTATCTGCAAATGAGGCTAAGTTCCAAGAGGTCAGGGCCACCAGGTAGGTCAAAGGCAGAGCTGGAAATGGAGCTCAAGTGCTCAGCATGGAGCAGTTGTTGACATAATGTATTATGTTGCATTATGACCCCTCTGGCAACTGTGTATCTTACACTTTGGAAGACTCATTTTTTTTCCCTTTTCCACACTCCACACCCATTTCTTCTGTGTGATGCTTCTTGGGGTTCCGTGGCATTAAGACGCTCCAGCTACTGGGCGTGGCGGGCTCAGAGCGGGTTGCAGAGATGAGGTCTTGGACTCTTGTGTTTTCTTCCATCCTCCGCTTGTATCTGTCATCATCTGTCAGGCTCCTCGGTTTTTCTGAGGAAGTAAGAGTGGTCCTGAAGATTCTGTGCGGCCACCTAGGCCTCCTTGGTCTGGCTACAGTGCCTGGGACCCACAGTGCCCTCTCTCCAGCCTCCCCCCAAGGCCTTGCAGTAGCCTGTAGCCTCCCCTGTGTCCCTCCAGGCCCCTCCCTCTGCACTGGTTGCTGTCTGTCAGCTCTTCTAGATCAGTTGCTGACATGTAATCATTAGTCTTTTTTACACTTTGATGATAGAACTGAAAAGCGAGAGTCTCCTTTTTCAAGTTGCATTTCCAAGGCTCCCTGGATATTTGTTTTGCCTCTTTTAGTCATTTTTTTTGTTGTTGTTATACATAGTCTTTTTTCTTACATATCTCTAGAGTTTCTTTTTCATTTATTTATTTAAAAGATTTGTTTATTGTTTGAGTGTTTTGCTTGCATGTATGTAAGTGCACCATGTACATGCAGTGCCTGGAGGGACCAGAAGAGGGTATCAGATCCCCTGAAACTAGAGTTATGAACATTTGCTAGCTTCTGTGTGGGTGCTGGGAATCGAACCTGGGTCCTCTGCAAGAACTAGTGCTTTTAACGGCTGAGCCATTTTTTCAACTTTATTTCTAATGTCTTTATTTTTTTGTTTCATTTCTTTTTTGTTGTTTTTTTGTTTTTGAGACAGGGTCTCCCTATAGCCCCAAATGGCCTGAAACTCACCATGTAGACCAGGTTGGCCTCAATCTCACAGAGATCCATCTGCCTCTGCCTCCCCAGTGCTTGGATTAAAGGCATGTGCCACCACACCTGACTTTATTTATATTCTATTTGTATGGGTATATTGCCTGCATGCATATAAATGCACCCGTGTTGTGCAATGTCTGCAGAGACCAAAAGAGGAGACCAGATCCCCTGGAACTGGAGTTAGGATGGTTGTTAGCCACCATGTGGGAACTGAACCCAGACCCTTGGCAAAAACAGCCAGTGCTCTTAACCACTGAGCCATCTCTTCAATAGCCTCTTTTTAAATTTTTTTTATCTTTTGAGACAGGGTCTCCCTGTAGCCCCAGCTGGTCTGGAACTCACTGTGTAGACCAGGCTGGCCTTGAACTCACAGAGATCTGCCTGCCTCTGCCTCTCAAGTGCTGGGATTAAAGGCGTGCGCCACCAGGCCTGGCATTAACAATAAGACTTTTATGTATCAGGCACTTTATAGAGTTTTGCTGACTTTTTCTTGTTCTGGTTTTGCAATATTAAATAAAGATATTTAGTAGAATGAAGAACTGAGTGTCAGAGAGGGTAAGTGACTTGCTCAGGGTCACAGCCTTGGAGCACCATCTTCTGGAAGAGTGCAGAGGAAAATTGTGATCTTGAAAATGGTACTGATTTGAGCAATTCATGGGCAATGCATGACAGTCTTAAAGGAGGCTTTCCCCTTGATCTTCATTCTTGTTTATGTGGGCAGAGAGCAAACAGCAATCCAGAGCTGATGGTATCACCTGCTGTGCCTATGGCAGGTGACATTTGGAGTGAGTGTGAGCTGGCGTTTCTATGTTCCTAGTCCCCTCCATTCGCCTGTGCCTCACCTGGCAGATGGCTAACTGTTTTCTGATTCTGATGTGAACATGAGGTTGAACTTGAGCCATTTTCTCACCTTAATCAGTCCACAGGGACTCTCAACATGTTCCCTGCAGCATGCACCTCCTGCTTTTAGCCAATCTTGTTATTTAGTGTAAGTTTAAAAGGGGAGAAAGCGTGCCAGGTCATACCGATGGTCCAACTGCCTTAGGATGCAGTTGCCATAGCAATCTGGCACGTGCCACAGGGCGATGGAGGTGGGAGAGGCTGGGGAGACTCAGGAGCTGGGCATGGGTAGCTGCCTGGATGTCATAGTCCAGAGTTCTAGCTGAGTTCCTCTTAGACTGAGTAGCAAAGGGCCAGTTTGTGGGTTGTCCCCTGAGGCTGTGACGTGGTCCTGTCTTGGTGCATGACCAGCACATAGTCACTCATGGGCATGGTGCCACATGACTGATAATGCCCAGCTGTCTTTGGTCTGTTCCATGCACTCTGATTCCAGATTCATACCGCCATGTTGCAGCGATGCTGAGGTGTTGTACAAGTTCCTGGGTGTTCCCTCTCAAGCTTAGCATGATTCTCCTTAGAGGTGAGAAATAAACAGGCCATAGAATAACCCTGCGTTCATATAAGACCACCCTCTTTTGGGAGCTCAGATGAGAAGATGCAGAGGGTGAGCAGGGGGATGGGCAGGATTGGACTGCAGGCTGCACAGGGAGAGTGAGAACCATGGGAAGGTGACTCAGGAAGAGGTCAGAGGTCAGGGCATGGATAGAGTCATTGTATCTAGGTATCTAGAGTTTTGGACTCAGCAGGGCACTTAAGTGGGTTGGGCTGGGAGCCTGGTGAGCTGAGGAGTGGCTGTCCTTTAGCCCCAGCTGGCTGTGCCACTAGAGCTGTGGACCCAGTGTCACCAGCCTTTACATCATCAGGGAGGGGTGAGTGACTTCAACCTTGTAGACAAAAGCTTCTGGATATAAAGGTGGGGGCTAGGGGTGCAGCTCAGTGGGTAGAATGCGTGCCTAGCATGCATGAATTTTGGGGTCCATTCCCCAGCACTGCATACACCAGGTGTGGTGGTGCACACCTGGTATCTCACCACTCAGGAGGTGGTGACAGAAGGATCAGTAGTTCAAAGTCATCCTTAGCTACACAGTGAATTTGAGGCCAGCCTGGAATACATGAGACAAAATTAAAACAGCTAAGTTTAGTGGTGTATGCCTGTAATCCCAGCACTTGGGAAGCAGAGGTAGATAGACAGATTTCTGTGAGTCTGAGGCAAGCCTGGTCTACACAGACCAGCCAGAGCTGCATAGTGAGACCTTGTCTCAAACCCAAAGGGAGCTGGAGAGTTGGCTCAGTAGTTTAAGAGCACTGGCTGCTCTCACCAAGGACCCAGGTTTGGGTCACAGCACCCATGTTGCGGCTAACAACCATCTGTAACTCCATTTCCAGGGGATCTGACACCCTCTTCTGAGCTTTGCAGGCATTCCATGCACTTGGCGCACTTACATACATTCAGGCAAAACACTCATATACATAAAAATAAATAAAACAAACAAACACATTAAAGGTGGTAACTAATTCTAAAACTTGACGGCAGGGTGTGGACCAAGATGGTGCATAGTGATGGCCTCCTGAGTGTCCCTGTTCCCTGGGTAGCAGCCACACAGAGCCTGAGGCCCAGGTTCAGTCTCATGGGCAGAGCTTTGATGTTAAGTGCACTAGAAGCACTGGGTGGTTAAGGGCCCTTTAGGTGACACGCAGCATGACTGGGCTGGATGGGGAATGTGCCCTTTGGGATGCTGTTGCGTTTCATCTTACCTGGGCAGCCAGGGTCCAGGCCAGGGCTGCATCACATAGGGGGCGTGAAGTAGCTGCATGGCCACTCCCAGTTCACCCAGGCTGGGATCCCACTGACTGGCCATCTGCTTAGACAACAGGCTGAGGATGGAGTGCCCTTGTTTCCCAAAGCCATCTGCTGGGGATGGCTCTCCTAGCCAGCCATCTGCCGAGCCTCCCAGAGACGGGCTGCATTGTGAGTTTCCTGCTGGCCTGGTGGAGCACAGGAGACTAGGGAGACAGGCTGTGGCCTTCCAGGCCTTTGTCCAAAGCCACAGCAGCCCTACCTTGGGGGATGGGCCCTCCTTGCAGACCTTCTTTGAGCCCTTTGCAGTTAAGTTCCTGAGTTTCTGCAAGAGAGAGGAGGGAGGGAGGGAGGGAGAGAGAGAGAACAGAAAGGGTAGGAGTTTGCTTTTCCCAGCAGAGAACAGGATGCTCAATCTCAGATCTTCTGGAGAACCCAGCAGGGCTGATCTCTCTTCAAGGTCACGTTTCTAGAGTGGCCAGGCGCACACCACCCCATCTCCTGACCTTTGCGCACACCACCCCATCTCCTGACCTTTCCTCTGCTGACTTTTGCTGTGGTGCCCCCTCTTGCTTGATGGTCCTGGCCCTTAGCTTCCTTCCTGCATCGTTTCTCAGCACACACCTGAAAGGGGAGACAGGTGCATTTTTGACATAGGATTGTCAGATTTCTACCAAAATAGATGGTACCAGTTTACACTCCAGCACCAGCGTGTGCAGCAGGATCTAATTTCCCTCCTGGCCAATGCCAGATGATGCCAGTCTGGAAAATCTTTGCCAGTAAAGTAGGAAAATGTCTTTCTTTGGCAATCACTAGGTTGTATGTTTTTTCTGATGGTGACTTCCATTTATGCTTCTTCTATAACTTGTTTCCTCTTAGAGGGATTGATGCCTTAGTGTGCCTGGAGGAGGGAAGAGGAGGGGCTTCAGGGAAGGGTTTCCCCAAAAGGGCCAAGTCACATAGATATGGAAAAAGCAGTTGTGCTCTCCTGGGAATGTGCCTGGATGGAAGAGGGTGTGTATTAGTTTCCCTGCAGGTCAGTGGCATAAAGGATAAGCCCCACTGCCAGGACTCACCTGCCACTAGAGGCTGCTGGTTCCACAGGCCAACCCTGCCAGAGCTTTAGACAAAGTAGGAATGCTGTGTTTGCACTGTCCCATAGGGCAGTGCTGTCCCTGTGTGGCCAGTGAAGGCCCACAGCGCAACTGGCGAGCTGGTCTTTGCATGTTACTGGGACCAACTGAATCTAAGTTTAAGCCACTGCCTGGGGCTTGTGGCACCCTGTTGCTCAGTGCCACCGTGGCTCAGTGTTTCTGGCACACCCGAACCCTGGCTGTGACTGGATGTGGAAGGTGTCCCCAAGGTTTTAGAATGGGCCTGTCTGCAGGCCTGCTTCCCTTTGCCTGCCTCCCTCTCTATCTTTCTTCCTCCTTCTCTCTCTGTCTCCCTCCCTCCCTGTCTGCCTCCTGCCTTCCTCTCTCTCTTCCCTGCTTCCCTCCCTCCTCTCTCTTCCCTGCTTCCCTCCCTCCTCTCTCTGCCTCCCTTCCCACTTCCCTCTCTTCCCTCCCCCCTTTCCCACCTCCCTCCCTCCTTCCTGTTCCCTCTCTTCCCTTCCTTCATGTTTCTTTGGACTTGGATTTCTCTTCCAGGCACTGTTGTCGGTGTCGTTCTTTACACAGGCAGAGAGCTTCGGAGTGTCATGAATACTTCCAATCCCAGAAGTAAGGTATGTGAAACCCCAGCATTTGTTGGGCCTGTGCTCCTGTTGGCATGGGTGGTAGACCGGATCAGAAGCAGGAGCAGCACATAGTGGGATTTCATCGATATCTGCACATGCACATATGTGTACATGCATGTATACACACATAGATGCATATGTAATATGTGTGTGCATGCATGTGCACATGAATGTGCAAGATGTTAGATGCTCAGAAGTTGAACTGCCTTTTGGTAGTGGATTGCTAAGTGTGCACGCACATGTGTACCTCTGCATGTATGTGTGCACACGTGTTCATATGTATCCCACATATGCAAATATGTGTATGTGTCTATAGGCATATGTGTGTTTGCATACATGTGGATGCCTGTGCACATGTATGTGAGGCACATGTGTGCTGCTTCCACACGCACACCTCGCGTTCTCATGCCCTCCCTGTGAGTGCAGTGCTTCTGTGGCCTTCTTCCTGAGGTAGGTGGAAAGTGCCCTTTCCAGGCTACCTGAGGTGAGGGAGGAGTGGGGTCAGCTGGCGGCATTCAGACCCCACCCAGCCACTGCCCCCCAGTTCTAGCCCTGTCAGCACTTTGCTGCATCCCCTCTTATGCTCCATGACTCTCCCCACCCATTCAACCTCAGTTGTTAAGTCAGAATGTTGCCAGCTGGATGTCGTCCCAGCATGGGGGAGGTAGAGGGCAGGAGCATCAGAAATTCAGAAGTGCAAGGCCATCCCTTGGCTACACGAGGCAGGACCTTATCCTGAAAACCAAAAAAATCCTAGAACGTTTTAGAATGATTTTTTATTATTTTATTATTTTTATTTTATTTTTTTTGAGACAGGGTCTCCCTGCAGCCCCAGTTGACCTGGAACTCAATATGTAGACCTGGCCGGCCTTGATCGCACAGAGATCTACCTGTCTCTGCCTCCCAAGTGGCTGGGACTAAAGGCTGCACCACCACGCCCGGCTGGTCTTTGTTATATTTTGAGGGGAGACATGAAAAACCAGATGTTTTAGTTTTATGTTTGTTTATTTATTTTTATTTATTTATTTATTTTTGAGACAGGGTCCCCCTATAGCCCCAGCTGACCTGGAGCTCACTATGTAGACCAGGCTGGCCTCAGTCTCACAGGGATCCACCCACCTCTGCCTCCTCAGTGCTGGGATTAAAGGTGTAGGCCACCACACTTGGCCTTTAATCCCAGCACTCAGGAGGCAGAGGCAGGCAGATCTCTGTGAGTTCCAGGCCAGTCTGGTCTACACAGTGAATTCCAGGCCACCTGGGGCTACAGGGAGACCCTGTCAGAAAAAGACCAAAACAAACAAAAAAGATTTTATTTTATTTTTAATTATATGTGTGTCTATGTGTGTATGTTTGAGTGCAGGTGCCTGTGGAGGCCAGAAGAGGGTACCAGATCCTCTGGAGCTGGAGTTATAGGCAGTTGTGACTGAGCCACCTGACGTGGGTGCAGGGAACCAAACTCAGGTCCTCTGCAAGAGCAGCAAGGTTTCTTAACTGCCCAGACATCGCTCCAACCCCACACGGGGTCTTCTTTGTTTGCTTATTTTTTTGTTTTGTTTGGATTGAGCCCAGGACTGCGTGCATCCTAGTCAAGCACTCTGCCAACTGAGTTCCATCCTCAGCCCCCAAGCAGTTATTAAAATGATAATAATCTCTCATGCAGCATGTACATATCAGTCCCTACAGTGGTGTGGGCTTGAACTTTTGGGAACGCTGACTCGGTGTGTTGTGGAGCCAAGTGTAGGACCAAGCAGGACCAGAGTAGGGTGCTGTACAGCACAGCAGGGCTCAGTGACCATTTGCTTTTGTGTTTCCAAGTCTAAACCTTAAATTATAAGAAAAAAATTGGGCTGAGGTTTCTCGGAGGTCCTGGAAGTCCGTTAGGAACTCAGCCTGTGGCCTGTGTTCTCAGACCATGTTGTGAGGACGAGCCTCTCACTGTCTCATCCCAGTGGAGAGTTTGAGGCTGAAGAACTGCTCTCTAGCCCGGCCGTGGACAGCTCCCGACAGTCCCCTGCTCCTTGTTCTGTATCCCAGATTGGCCTGTTTGACCTGGAGGTAAACTGCCTCACCAAGATCCTGTTCGGTGCACTGGTGGTGGTGTCACTGGTCATGGTGGCTCTGCAGCACTTTGCTGGCCGTTGGTACCTGCAGATCATCCGCTTCCTGCTCCTGTTTTCCAACATAATCCCCATCAGGTGAGCAGAGCACACACATGCTTGGTTTGGGTGCAGTGTCTTTTTCTTGACTCACTCCAGGATCCTCATTGGTAGAGCACTTGCCTGGCATGGGCAAGGCCCTGGGTTCGATCCCTACTACTGAGGAAGAAAAAAAGGCTTTGAAAAGCCTCCTGATTAAAAAAATATATCCCCAAACCACCCAACAAATACATAGATTTACAAAATGGTTGAGAGCACTGGCTGCTCTTCCAGAGGACTTGGGTTCTGTTCCCAGCACCCACATGACATTGACAACCGCCTGTAACTCCAGTTCCAGGGAATCCGATGACCTCTTTGTGGGCATTGCATGCATGTGGTGCACTTACATACATACAGGCAAAACACTCATACACATTAAATAAAATCTTTAGGAAGCAGCAGCAGCTGAACATTGGGAAAATGCTATCCCATAACAAGGCCCTGAGTTCAAATCCCCAGCACCCACATAAAAAGCCATGTGGTACGCACCTGTAACCCCAGAGTTGGGGAGGTGGGGACAACTTCCTTTTCTGTCCTTTAAGTGACTTGTCTTCATACAAAATGGTTGTGTGGACTGTGACGTCTCCTGTCCTCGCTGATGGAGTTCTGATTCTGTGACCTTGGCCCCCACAGTTGCTCCTAGAGGGGGTGGCTCCACACAAGACAAATGCTTCTATAGCTTGTGCAGTTTATCGAACAGTATGCAGGGTCCTTCTACATGTTCTTCTGATTTCCTTCCTAGTTTGCGTGTGAACTTGGACATGGGAAAAATCGTGTATAGCTGGGTGATTCGTAGGGATTCAAAAATTCCTGGAACTGTGGTTCGGTCCAGCACAATTCCTGAACAGCTGGGCAGGATTTCTTATTTACTCACGGACAAGACAGGTGAGCACCTGGGGCTGGGGGAGGGGTGCACCTGATTGCGGTCCTGGTGAGGGGAGTTTGGTGCTCACCACAGTTTTGAGTCCTCCCTCTGGAGGTGGGGGAGGTGGCAGTGTCACCTACCTCTGGATGAAGAGTGAATGGTGGTGATGATGATGATGTCCACAGATACCTTCATGGGACTGATTGCCTGCAAAGTGCTGAACTTGGTGTTTCAAGCAGTTGCTAAATTAATTCCCACACAGCCATGTGAGACAGGAAGGATTTTACATATAGGATGAAGGGCACAGAGAGACAAAGTGCCTGTCACAGGCACAGAGTGACTGAGTTGTGTTGACCCGGGCAGTCCGGCCATGAGTACTGGTCTCCCACCTCCATACTGTCTGCCACTCCAACCCCCGCCAAGCTCAGTGGAAGGATCATGGCTTGGGGGAAGGAGACCAGGCTGTATGCTCCCCTCTCAGTTTAGTGGCTGTAGGGTAGAGGGAAGCCATTACAAAGATGCTGGCGGCTGACTGCATGTAGTTCTTTTGTTTCTGTGATAGAATACATGAGAACGGGCACTTAGAGGAGGAAGGGTTTAATTTAGGCTCTTGGGTTCAGAGGTCAGTCCATGGCCAGCTGGCTCCACTGCATATAGGCCTGTCTGGGGGAAGGAGCATCATTGTGCAAGGGTGTGATTGGGAAAGCAGCCATGAAACAGAGAGGGAGAGGGAGAGGAAGGGAGGGAGGGGGACAGGGAGACAGAGAGGGAGGAGGAGGGGGAGAGGGACAGGGAGGGAGGAAAGGGGATAGGGAGATGGAGAGGTAGGAGGAGGGGGAGAGGGAGAGGAAGGGAGGGAGGAGGATGAGAGGGAGAAAGAGAGGGAGGGGGAGAGAGAGGGAGGGAGGAGGGTCTGAGGACAGATAGGCTTTATGGAGAGAGACATATCCCCCATCATCTGTTTCCTTCAGTTAAATGTGATCTAGTTTCATTTGTGTTGCTGTAGCAAATAACCTGACAAAAAGCAACTTGGAGAAGAAAGAAGGGTTTCCTTGGCTCACAATTCCAGATCACAGTATATTACTGTGGGAGTCAAGGCAGGAACTTAGCACCACATCCATAATCAAAAGCAGAGAGGGAGGGGCTGGAGAGACTCAGCAGTTAAGAGCACTGGCTGCTCTTTGCAGAGTTCCTGGGTTCAGTTCCCAGCACCTACATGGGAGCTAACACAGGTTCTTAACTCTAGTTCCAGGGGATTCAATGCCCTCTTCTGGCCTCTGTGGGCATTGCATGCATGGGTGCACTTACATACATGCAGGTAAAACACATAACATAAAGATTAAAAAAATAAGCCGGGCATGGTAGCGTTCGCCTTTGATCCCAGCACTCGGGAGGCAGAGGCAGGTGGATCTCTGTGAGTTAGAGGCCAGCCTGATCTACATAGCAAGTTCCAGGCCAGCTGGGGTAACAGGGACACACTGTCTCAACCCTCCCCCACAAAAAAAGATAAAAAAAAAAAAAAAGAGCAGAAAAAGAGCTCTCTCTTCTCTTGTGCTGTTCAGGACCCCCTGCCTAGGAAATGATGCTGCTCACAACTGGACTAGGTCTTCATACATCAATTAACCATCAAGATAGTCCCCCACAGACATACCTACAGGCTCAATCTAGATAATTCCTCATTCAGGCTCTCTTCCCAGGTGATTCCTGGTTGTCAGGTTGACACCCTAACCAGCACACCTTCAAAAGTCATGTCCCTCAAGCCATGCAGTCCTCACCTCACAGTGTGAATGCATCTGTGCTTAACCCACTGCTGGTTAGTGCCCACATGAGCTGTCATCTCTTCACCAGCTGGGACCCCGCCCCCCAAGCCTTTATAACCATTTTATTTCAAAACCATAGCACTCACCAAATGAGTTAGCCAGGTTTCTGGATGGAGAGGAACAGGAAGTTGGAGACTTGTCAGCACTGGGTCCTCAAGATGGTCTTTGTGGGACTCTGTGATGGGGGTCATGTGACTATACTTCCTGTTTGTTTCTTCCTGCTCAGTGCAGGCTGATGGGTCTAGTGTGTGCCGTGTGCCACCCTTTCAACCAGTGGAACGAGTCAAGTGTACCAATTGATAACCCTGGAGAATTGATGTAGTCTAGTCCCCATGGCAAGTTAGGACATTTTTTCAAAAGGAGGATGGGATTCTAGGCAGACCAATCCCTGTCCTGTCTCCTCCAGCAGAGGCATACTGAGGCCAGTGACTGACTCTCAGAGGGACTGAATCCACGGCTGGTACTGAGGCCAGTGTGCAACTCTGACTCTCAGAGGACAGAGTGAATCCCAGGGATGCAGGTCAGTCACTCATCTTTTGTGCTCTAGGAACTCTGACCCAGAATGAGATGGTTTTCAAGCGGCTGCATCTGGGAACAGTGGCCTACGGCCTTGACTCTATGGATGAAGTGCAAAGCCACATCTTCAGCATTTACACCCAGGTAAAGCCTTTGATTCATCCCCTAATGAATGCCTAGCATTTTAAAAAATATTTTTTATTTTTGGATTTATTTTTATGTGTATCGGTGTTTTGCCTACATGTATTTAAGTGCACTGTGTGTGCAATACCCATGGAGATCAGAAGAGGGCGTTGAATACCCTGGAACTGCAGTTACAGTTGTTAGCTGCCACATGGGTGCTGGGAACCAGACCCAGATCCTTTACAAGAAGAGCCAGTGCTCTTAACCACCAAGCCATCTCTCCAACCCCTATACCTATGCATTTAAAACAATTAGTTAATTAAATTTTAGCCCAGGCTGACTACACACTTACTGTGTAGCTGAGGATGACCTTGAATTCCTGTTCCTCCTGTCTCTACCTCTTGAGTGTTAGAATCACCATGCCTGGTTTATGTGGTGCTGGGCATAGAACCCAGGGTTTTGTGCATGCTATACAAGCACCCTACCAACTGAATTACAGCTCCAATCTTCCTGTACATTAAAAAAAATTTTAGTGCGTGCATGTGTGTGTGTGTGTGTGCGCGCATGCGCGCACACACACACGCACACACATGTAACACCACATCCATATGGAGGTCAGAGGGTAACTTGTGCGAGTCAGTCCTCTCCTTCCTCCATGTGGGTCCTGGAGATTGAACTCAGGTCCTCAGATTTGGCAGCAAGTACTTTTGCCCTCTGAGCCATCTCACCAGCCCTGGCTCCCGTACATTTCTAAGCAGCTGTATTGCGATATAATCTATAATACCATACAGTTCACCCACTTAAAATTGATAGTCCAGTGGTTTTGTAGTGTAGTCACCCAATTTTATGTCCATCACCCCACAGACAGACCCTGTTCCTTTGGCAGTCCCTTCCCATTTCCCCCAGTCCCCACTTCCCCAAGCTCAGGGTGACCAGCATTCCTTGAGTTTGGAATGAGGCCAGTGCTTTCCCATCATCCTCATGACCAGGGCTGGTCCCTTCACTGCAGAGAGAATAGATGTTGGAAAACAACAAACAGAGGGTTATCTGCCGAATAGCTGGGGCAGAAAGGAGCTCTGGGAACCTATGAGTTGGTTATATTCTGGTCAATGGGCCTGTTTGTTTCCATTTTCCTGACTGTCAGCCAGGTTCACAAGCACTGATGGCCACCTCGTTAAGTAGTCTTGGTGTGACTGATTTCTCAGGGACAACTCGCATCTTACCTGCTTCCACTGTTTTGTTCCTATAAATTTTCCCAAATGAATCATCCTTTTTCAGTGAAGATATTATTTGTAAATATCCTAACACTCCTAACCTTGGCTCCTCACCTTGGCTACCTGTCAGATTTGCTGGTGATATTTCAGAAAGAAAGCAGAGGAGACCCAAGTGTTTTTTTTTTTTTTTTTTTTTTTTTTTTTTTTTTTTTTTTTTTTTTAAAAAAAAGGAGACAGGGTCTCCCTGTAGCCCCAGCTAGCCTGGAACTTGCTATGTAGACCAGGCTGGCCTTGAGCTCACAGAAATCCACATGCCTCTGCCTCCGGAGTGCTGGGATCAAAGGCGTGCACCACCATACCTGGCTGACACCCAAAAAGGTATTTTTATCTGGGCCTGATTCACAGATACCAGCAGAGTCTGGGCTTCTGTGTTTGAAATGTAAGACAAAAAATCGCAAATGTTCAATCATGGTAGCTCATGTCTTTAATCCTGACACTCAGGAGGCAGAGGCAGGTGGATTTCTGTGAGGTTGAGGTCAGCCTGGTCTACATAATGAGTTCCAGGCCAGCTGGGCCACAGGGAGACTCTGTTTTAAAAAATAAGCAAACAAACCAACAAACAAAAGTTAAGGCAAGGACTGGGGAGATGGATCAGTGGGCAAAAGCGCCAGCACATGGACCTGAGCTTGGATCCCTAGCACCCTCACAAAAAGCTGGGGTGGTCACACATGCCTGGAACCCCAAGTGGGGGTTTAAGGGGCTATGGAGACAGGAGGATCACTGGGGCATACTGGCTGCCAGCCTAGCTGAAAAACAGCAAGCTCAGAGTTCAGAGAGATCCTGTCCCAAGGGGACAAGGTAGAGACTGACAGGCAGGATGCCTGATGTCCTTTTTGGCCTCTGCACAGGTACACATGGGCGTGTGCACATGCACATATGTATGTACTCATGTGCACACATACACACACACACACACACACACACACACACACACAAAGGTGAGGCAAATCCCTTGGCAGTTCTGAGGTACCTGTGGAGTGGTGTTAGACTCCAATAGAGCGACTCCAAGTTTGCAGAACCTGACTAACTGTTCCCCTCTCATGCCCAGGGCAACTCAATAACTTGCTGGTACTTCATTAGGTAGCGGCTTAGATAGCATGGACCTTAGCCAAGACACGCCTTGGCCCATTTCGGTGGTATTTTTAAGAGCCTGTGGTGTTTACTGAAGCCAGCCTGTCTCAGGACATTTGTCTACTCAGCTTTTATGGTTTGTTTTTGGCCTAGCACAAAACCTCTTTGTACAGCTTTGGAAGTCAGGATCTAACATTTCCCTTCCTGAACTCTACATTCCCTCTCCTGAGCAGAAGCTCATAACTGGGTGTGCTGTCCTGTCTTGGTCTTGGGTGGAAAATGACCCAGCATTACAGGGTTAGGTCCATATGTGGCTGCATGAACTCTCTTGATAACCCCACCCCAAGGACTCTGGCCATCTTGTTCTCTGATACCTAAACACCTGTAGGGAGCAGATCACCAGATTCCTGATGAGATGTTTGAGGGCTTTTCCATGTTTCCTTGTATTTTTTTTTTCAAAAAATTTTTTATTTTTTCTTTATTAACTTTTTAAAGATTACATACAAAGCAGTGGGTCTTATTGAACATCTTTGCATACATAGGCCATTATATTTGTTTTTCTCTCTGCCGCCACCCTGCCCCGTTGCTCCCTCCTCCTATTACCTTCTCTTGTTCCTCTTTCCCTCTCCCTGTAGGTCTCTCCTCCATCCCATAATCCACTTTCTGCTTTCCTGTGTGTGTGTGTGTGTGTGTGTGTGTGTGTGTGTGTGTGTATGGAAATATAGATTTCACAAATGAGAGAAAACATGTCTTATCCTTCTGAGTCTAACTCATTTATCATTTATTTTAATGTTTTTATTTTTTATTTTTATTTTATGTGTATGCATGTATTGCCTGCATGTAGGTAGATGCACCCATGTTTTGGAATGCCTGCAGAGGTCAGAAGAGGGTGTCGGATCCCCTGGGACAGTTATTAGTTACCATGTGGGTGCTGGGATTTGAACTTGGGTCTTCTGCAAGAACAACCAGTGTTCTTAACCGCTGAGCCATCTCTCCAGCCCCATCATTTACTATTTTTGTTTTGTTTTATTATGTTTATTTATTTATGTGGCGGGAGGGCTGGGATGTGGGTGCCTGCCACAGTGTGCATATGGAGGTCAGAGACAATTTGCAGGAGTCTTTTCTCTCCTTGTGGGTCCTAGGGATCAAACTCAGCCATCAGGCTTGGTGGCAAGTGCCTTTAGTCACTGAGTCATCTTGCCAGCCCTTATTTTGCATTTTTTAATAACTGCTAAGATATAATTTATACTCCAAAAAATTTGGGCATGCTGAATGCACAGAATCAGTGGTTTTAGTGACTTTGGAGAGCTGCAGAACTGTCAGAACTGGCTTACCACACAGTGTGTTCCCACCATTTCTCTCTGTCTCTGCAATTCCTCCCACCTTTTGAGTTTAGCAGTAGGAGGTTACACTACTTTATTTTTGTTTGTTTGTTTTATTTTTCCTGAGAACAGGCTATCACTATGTAGCCCTGGCTGGCTTGGAGTTCACTGTGTAGATCAGGGGACCTCAAACTTGCTGTTATCCATCTGTCTCTCCTCCTTAGGAGTTTTTGTCTATTTTTCTTTCTGTGGGTTCTGGGGATTGAACTTGAGTCCTCAGGTTTTTAAAGTTAGCCCCTTTACCTGCTGAGTCATTCATTCTCCTGGCCTCCTTAGTCTTTAAGGTATTTATAGCCCCAAACCAGATGATGCCAGCAGAGTTGGAAGCCCTGGCTGTTGCCCCCACACCTGCTGTTTTAGCAGGTGAACCCAGTGACAGGCACCACAGGACAGAACAGAGGGGCTGTTGTAAACACAGCTGGATGAAGCGAGAAGAGGCTTGCCCTTCTGAGTACCAGTGTGAAATCTTCTGGACCCAGAGCTGTATTTATAAGATGTGCACATGGCGGAGCAAGGGAAGACTAAAGTGCGTATTTTCATGGTCGTTTTACCTCCAAAGTTCATACAAAACTGACTTCCTAAGAGTTGTGACGCTGACCTGGGGGCCCCCACTACATATATCAGATGCCTGCTTATCAGGTGCAGTCCCTGATGCATCCTGCAGAAGGAAACAGAATAGTACCATGCAGACTGTGGTTTATGAGCACTCAGGTGAGGGTATAAAGGATGTTATTTGCACTAAACCAACCTTGTAAAGAGAGAAGGTGGTTTTAAAAGATTCAGGAAGGAAAACTAGATTATTAACACAAGGCCAAACAAACAGTAGGGAGATGACTAGTGCTTCATAACACTCTACCAGCTAGAGGGACGGAAGGAGGTCTCTCTGGCTTCTATAGTAATACCTTTGCAAAAATTGAGAAATTAGAAAAACCACAACATCCAGACCTAGGTATGGTAGCGCACACCTTTAATCCCAACACTCAGGAGGCAGAGGCAAGTGGATCTCTATGCATTTGAGGCCAGCCTGATCTACATAGTGAGTTCCAGGCTAGCCAGTGTTACATAATGAGACCCTATTTCAAACAACAAAAAGCCCTAAAACAAAAACAAACAAGCCCATCAAAAAACCACCAGTGAAACCCCCAGAACATCCAACCTTTTAATTTTTTTTTCTTTTACTGTCTCCTCAGATATACTTTATCATCACTGAATTTTTTTTTAAACTATTTTGTGTGAGCCAACTGTGGGGGTCAGTTTTCTCCTTCCACATGTGGGTCCCAGGGATTGAACTCAG